AACATAAAATTTATGAGTATATATAATTTACTGTGTTATTCGATGTAATTAATTTAAAGGACAGAAATAAAATATACGCTTCATACGTGGATTAGTGGGACTTATGTGGTTACCTCTTTAAACATAATTTATACTGTGATTGGAGTTTTGAAATGGCCGCTCTAAGGTCATTTTCCAGGTTCATCGTAGAACGGTACCTTGTTTTGATGGCTGCCACGGTTGAAAATCCGATGTCTCACAGGTAGGATGTTGCGAAAGGAAGGAGGATGTTGAAAGCTTTCCTGCTCAGGTGAGGGAACTCCCCTCCAGTGACCAGCCAACATTCCGTGTACAACTTCCTAGGAAACTGAACTGTTTAAGAAGTATCAGATGTAATCTCAATACAGTTTTCTTAATAAAGAGAGAATCATCATAGAACTGATCCACGGTCCATTTTTATTTATCCCTTCCTGCTTCTGGAAAATACTTAGAAAACCTGGGCTAGAGATTATCCAAGTGATCTATTCCAACGTCATTTATGTTCACACTGTTCTCCTCCACAGAACCATTCGAACAAGAAAACATGGCCAGACTTTTTCCATCTAGTTTTCTGACCCTCTAGCCCAACTTCCCAATAAATGCCCTCACTTTATCAGTCATTACGATGATTTTAGTGTCGTTCCCTTGCAATCCGGTGTTCCAGGTTCTGAACATCTAAAAAATATTGCTTAAATACGCTAACTTAGAAACAAAATGTTCACAGCACAAATGCTCGGCGTGCACTAGATCTTCCTCTTCTAAATACAGTGGTGCTACTCCTCGCAAGCTGTAAACATCAGCCACAGCCTCACCTCCTGACAGCCAGCGAGAATTACAGTAAAACAGGAGTGACTGATATGAAGAGTATTTTTTGTGAAGAAAGCAGTCTTCTGGGATTTGGCACCGTGTATATGTGGTGTTAACCGACGTTTCGGAGGAACGTATCGCCCCCATCTTCAGGGTTGAAGAAGTATAAGTAAATCTGCAAGCGACAACACCGTGAGACACGGTCATTGAGAGAACCGGTAAAAGCTCACGGTCTCATTTCTTATATTTTTCCTTCTACCCTGAAGATTGAGGCGATACGTTCCTCCGAAACGTCGGTTAACACCACATATACACGGTGCCAAATCCCAGAAGACTGCTTTCTTCATCAGTTGTATTGCTTGGGAATTAGCTTTGCGGCCCTAGAGGGTGGAGAAAATTAGGGATGAAAATTGTCAAGTTAAGGGGTTGAGCAGCTTTCTCCGACCCCTAAACAGTAGTTTCTGCATCAAATTAAATATTCTAGTGCGTGCTAGCTCCGTGGAATAGTTTCCACCGTGAGAAATTGAAAGTTGTTTAGCTGTTGAAGAAATTTCATATTGTTGTGGTACTTTATGATTCATCACCACGATAACGAAAGCACGCCATTGGATTCTGTTCAGATCTTCACATCCAACTTCAGAGGACCAGGAAGCGTTCTCGTTTCGTGATGTTTTCGAACCAAAATGTTTCACGCAGTTTACCCATTTGTTCTACGTACTCCGCTCATCTTATCCTGGATTTAGTCACCTGGACAGTTATCGGGCACAAAGATCCCCAGTGTGTAAGTTGAACCATTCCCATATTTCGTCTCATATAGGGCAATATATTCACATCGGCACACTGTTGTTAATCATGACAAAGAAAGACGGATGAATGGATGGACAGGCAGAAGGAAAATAAATTCAACAGTACCCCACCCTGTTCCAGTTATAGTGAGTCTAATGGCGAACGTAAGTGACGTAACCGCAGACTAGTTTCGGTTGTCATGCCTGTAGAAAGCCTGTGCCGGAATCGAGAGCGCTGAGGCCGCAGGCGTACGCATTGTATGCGTGTCTGCAGAGATGCAGCTTGCGCCAAGAACTGTGAATGAGATTTCAGCGTATTTGTTCATATTCCTTGGATTCCACAACCGTTGTGATATTTGTCTCCCGTTTTCTTGTTGCTCCCACTTCGGAGTATAGGGCATCCGTGAAACGCTTTGTTTCAGTTCAGTTTCTTAACCCGAAATCGCCTGTGTGGTCTGTTGGTCAGAGTTCCTGGCTACAGATCCAGAGGTCCGGGTTCGATTCCCGGCGCTACCAAATTTTCTGGGGAGTAGTGGGTCTGGAACGGCGTCCACTCAGCCTCGTGAGGATAACTGAGGAGCTATTTCAAGGAAATAGCGACTCCGGCCTAGAAAACCGAAATTAAAGGCAGTGGGGATTCGTTGCGCTGACCACGTGACACTCTCTATCCGCTAAAGTTGGCACAACTTCGCCGACAGGCGGCCGTCGCTCGGTCGGTATAGTTCGCTTGCGGACTAAAACCTCGAAGTTTTCATTTTTTTTCAAGGTAGTCGGTAGGGCCGCGCCATAGCTGAAGCGGTTTGTCGCTGGCTTCCCACCGCGGCGGCCCGGGTTCGATCCTGGGTCTGGTCAAATGAGATTTGTGGTAGACAAAATGGCGCTGCCAATCTTAAGTCCACCAAATTCTCCATCATCATAATCACCCGGGGCAGGCTACAATAGGCCAGTCAGTGGCCGCCCTGCCGATTGGACCCAGTTGGACTCCACCCCCTACTAAGTGATTTAAAAAAAAAAAGACAATCTGTAGGACTCCTTGGACGGGGGATCAGGCCGTATCAAGATCTCTGCCTACACAGAATAAACGCGGACATACATCCGTGCCTTGAGTGGGATTTAAACCCGCGATCCCATTGTTCGGGCGATTGAAGACAGTTCATGCCTTACACCTCGCGGCCATTTTGATCAGCCATTCTGATATTACCCTTATGAAAATGATTCCAGTGTAGAACCGATCATTTTGCTAAGCGTCTGGAGTAGCTACTGTGACTAGAGATTGAGGTAACTATTAGCTGATCCCGAATGCAGTAGTCTGAACTTAAACATTCATAACTGTGCCTATAAAATTTCAGTATTTGACTTTATCATAAGCACTTTGAGTCCATTGTGTATTCTCACGCCATGTTTATGTAAGGTCACTTTAATAGTGTCATACCATCTACGCCATATTCTCTCGATTAGTGTATTCTCTTCAGGTTTTCCAACTAAAATTTTATTTTCATTTCTTACCTTCACATTCATGCTTCATGGCCTGTCCATCTCAGCTTTAGATGTTTCATACTTGCAGCACTGAGTATATTGTAAGGACACTGTTGAATGTGTCGTCCAGGGGTCAGAGGAATCAGACCTTGTAGACTTAAAATTGCCATCTTCAGGGTTAATGACTTTGGGAAGCGTTTGGTATAAAATGGAAAACTCTCATCTTCCAACTTGGCATAGTCATGACTGACGTGACTCTGCCAGTCATTCCGCGTCCAGTACAACGCTCACCACATCAAACCCTGATGATGAAGACAGAGATTGTCTCTGAAACATCAGGCAAATGGGTATGACTAATTGATTTAGAAGACTGTATGTTGTCACTCTCACAGTGAAAGTTTCAAACCGTGTATGATTGTACTGTGCTTCTTATGTTCTAATCTGGGAGTTTCGTGTCAGTGTACGTTTAAGTTTTGGGGTTGTAAAGAGCTGTAATGGTGAAGAAAGTCGTCTTCTGGGTTTAGGCGCTACTGCACTTCCTATCATTACAGCTACTGCTCTCTGCATTCTAAGCCATTCAACTGTTCTGAAGATGGAGGCGATACGTTCCTCCGAAACGTCGGCCAAAACGAAGATTACACGGCGCCTAAACCCAGAAGACGACTTTCTTCATAGTCATCGCCGTGAAAACCTCAAAACTTACATAGCTGTAATGGTGGTTTTTCACCTCCCCCATTTCAGATATCTTCCCCTATAGTGCTAGTAAATTCTGAGTGTCCCTTTTGAAATCCCTGGATATATGCACCACTCTTACACACACACATGTACAAAATGTTCAGTCATATACAGTGAGCAGAACCTTTTAATCATTCCTTAATAATGTAAATTCATCAACAGAGTAGAAAGTATGAGTGAAGAGGAATTCAGTGCTCCTCGAGTTCTTTCTTATTAATGGATAAACATTCAGTTTTGGAGGGGGGAAGCTTTGTGATAACAAATGAGGCTTTAGTGACAATGGTGGTATACTCATTACAGTGTTGCATGAAGGAAACAGTTACTTGATTCAAGAGAACCAAGTCATGGCAATGCTGCTGAACTTTTAGTTGGAAAATTAGTTCGGTTCTGGTTTAATTTGAGCTCCTTTAATATATCGGTAGCTGTAAATGACTAGTTAAGCGACCTCCGTAGTCTAGGGGTAACGTTCCCACCTCATGACTCAAGGTACGCGGGTTCAAACCCAGCGGAGGTCGTCGAATTTTTAAGGGCGGAAAAATTCAGGGAACAAGGACTTTAAGCCGTGGGTCCCGTGTCGTAGATTTACGGCACGTAAAAGATCCTCATGTCTCTAGGAGACCTCTGAGCAAAATTATTAGGTAAAAAGTTTCCCGCCCAAGTAGTTTCCAATGCCTCCAATAGATGGGTAAGCATCAGGTACTGCAGCCAGCCTCGCTGTCTGAACGGGGCTGATAGCGAGCACCAGTACCGGCAGGGTATGGAGACGGGTAGAATATTAAATGGGGACATACATTAGACTATTAGTCGCGGTGCATGGGGAAACCCATCCCCTCCAATAATAATAATAAATAATAAATGACTAGTTAAGTTCCACTGATTTTAACCATACCCTATCTGTACAGAATATGGGAGAAGTGACTGAGATAATAATGAGTTACGTTGTATGTAATATGTGAAATCTTGCTTCTAACCACAGTAGTGATGTGTATGCATAATGAAATTCTCTGTTATAACTGTACTCATTCGTTCTTACATATTTCCTGTTTTGTAACGGGATTAAAACCATAGTAATAGCAGTGATGGGGAATGAATTAGGAATATGTGTCCAGCACTTCTGCATGTCCATGTTGTAAATATGAATGATCTATCTAATGTGCTTTTTATATTTTTCAGATTTAATCCATTGTACAAATGAGCCAAATGTGTCGATTCCACAGTTAGCTAATCTACTTATCGAAAGATCGCAGAACACAAACTGGGTGGTTGTCTTCAAAGCTCTAATTACTGTTCATCATATGCTTTGTTATGGCAATGAAGTAAGTATTTTGTGTTCTGTGTTGTGTAGAATTTAGAGGCTTAGGTTATTAGTTCTTGCAATATTAATTTACCTGTACTCACACATTGTGGCAGAGATTCAGGGCAACATAGCATATAGTTTACATCAGGGATCACTAACTGTTCTTGCCTCAAGTATGTGAATTCTCATAACTTCCATTGTATCTCTCATTTTTAATTCTTTGTGTAGCTGTTTCATGAAATATGTAATTTTGAATGTTCTGGAACACCCCCATGTGCTGGAGTGATATTATGATGAAAAGTGAAAGGGAAGATTCTCTTAGTTATTCTTTTCTTATTTTCATTGCAGCGGTTTACACAGTACTTAGCCTCAAGCAATAGTACTTTTCAGCTGAGCAACTTTCTAGACAAGAGTGGAGTACAAGGTATGTTGAAATATATAATATATTGTATTCTGAAAATGTTAAAAATGCAGTTTCTCTGAGCTCTCTTGTTATTGTGAAGGGTCTGTGGAGAGGACTACAGTGATTTTTACATTATATGCTATTAGCATAGTGGAGTGTAGTGTATTAATATAAAGATACACATCAGCAAAAAAATAATACAGTATGACTTGTGTTTGAAAAAAGTGAAAAAAGTAATGTATTCAGAAGGTTGAATGGTAATGTCATTAATTTTTAAAGTACTAGAGCTGTGTATGTTATTTGAAGTGATAATGCCACCATTTTACTGTTTTATTCATCTTTTTTAAAAGATGATGACACTTACCTTTATTGATTATGATATACTATAATTAAAACCTCTTAGTAGTTCTAATATTATTTACGATATTTATAAACTTATCTTAGAATTTATACTCATTAAGCTCTGAGTTTGAAACTGAGTTCTTTGTTTCTCTTATGCCATATGCATTAGGTGCCCGTGTTGGTGAGTATTAAGATAAAATAGGCGTATCAGCAATGCTTCCCAGCTCCGTATGGCATGAACCTAACACCTGCAGCTAATATTGAAGTATCTGTAGTTATTTTCTTGAATGGAGGTTGCATGCATTTAATTTCCAAATGGAATGATTTGAATGAGTATATGTAACTTGCAGAAGCTTTTCTTGCTGTGCTTGAAGGAGTACCACTTTTCAGTAGTGTTGTTACATACTGATATTTGAATCTGCATGTTTATCACAGACCATAGAGTAGACTGACACATAACTTAATAAGCATATAGTCTAATTTATTTACTACAGTATAAAGAAATGCATGTAAACCTGTTTGCTTCTGTAGTGAGTAGTGATTAGTGAGCAAAGTTCATTTATTTTATCTAGTATTTCTGTTTTTATTAATTATTATCAAGGATTTGAAGGTTTGACTATATGAGGGATGTTTATATTTTTCTTGGACCCCCCCCCTTCTTGGTGCAAAGTGTGCCAGTTAACTCATATAGGTAAAGTTGTATCCATCTGTCCATGTTTCACCTAACTATCAAGCGAATGTAAGTTAAATGTAGGTAGATGGAACATGTGGCATGCGTTGAATAGTTGAGAAATATATACAGTATTTCTTTTCAAGAAGGTCTATGTTTGGTCGAATTAATTTGAATTTCAGTTAAATATGATATGCGATGTACGCTACAAATTTTTAATTGAATTTAATTTTGGTTTATAACAGTCCAGTACTTTGCATGAAGCTCAAATTAGACTTTCAGTTTTTAAGAGGCATATGTGGCCAGCTGGAAAAATCTATACAGCAGGACATAATACAGATAGATGTCTCAGAATAAATTATGTTGAGATGAGTACTGTCAATATCTACCGGGCACATGGACCACACTGAATCATGTGTATGTGTGTAAGGGGTGGACCATAAAATCCAGCCCTCGCACTATGACCTTCAATGATCTGTTGTGCTTCCCCTTTGGATTAGCCTGTTATTAATCCTACACTTTGAATGAAATGTAGGACTTTATGTATGGGGGTGTCATAAAAGTCACTTGGTTCCATGAAGAACTGACCCAGGTGATGAAATCTGAAGTAAGCTATGGCCTCACAATCACATGGGATGTGTGTGGCTGATTCGTCTTGTAGGCACCTTTCACAGGTTGGGTCATCTGTCAGTCCCAGTTTGAAAAGGTGTCCTTTTAGGTGGCAGTGTCCAATAAGTAATCCTACCACCCATCTTAATTGATCTCTGCTTAATTTCAACAGGTCCTTCGTTCTGCTGACAGAGTGACCTGATATAAATCCCTTTGCCTGTTGAAGTCCAATTGTGGATTCACAGTGTTATGCTGAAGCATTCTGTCATGATCTGACTAGATGGATAGTTTTGAAAGAGAGAGTGAATTCCTGTTAAGATGAGCATGGTAACCACTCACAGACATACTCCTGAAAGTCATGTCAGGCCCACAGAAATAGTTAAGCAACCATAGAGCAGAGCTGGATAGGTCTGCAGCTGGGTTATGTGACATACAGACAAGACTAGAGGTGGTAAAAGTACCTTCTTCAAATGACACAGTATATCCACTACAAGAGTGAAGCAACATCACATGGATCATTTCATCCCATTAACTCAACTTTCCAGATTAAGTAGCAGTAATGTTGTTGACGCTGGGGTTGATTTATATTTGTCACTGCCCACCATCCTTCATAGGCCTGTGACTGTCAATGAAGGTTGTGCCTCAGTGATGTTTATATATAAGCAGTAGTGTTTACCTAACTCTTCATTCCTTGATGATGGAGGTAGAGGTCTTAAAACAACTTCAGATATCTGTGTCATGGATGGTCATGCAAGATTGTGTTGTTGGTGAGAAAGGCTACAGGTCAGAATTTCTGACACTATTATGTGATTAACATTGCTTGGTATATGTGACAAATGCAGACCAAGGCCAACGAGGTAGGCAAAATAGCTGGAGAATTTTGCACAGTGGTCAGAGTTCCTGCCTACAGATCCAGAGGTTCGGATTCGATTCCCGGTGCTACCAGATTTTCTGAGAAGTAGTGGGTCTAGAACGGGGTCCATTCAGCCTCGTGAGGATAATGGAGGCGGCATTTCAAGGAAATAGAGATAGAAAACCGAGACAAACGGCCATGGGGATCCGTTGCACTGACCACATGACACCCTCGATCCACAGAAGTTGGCAGTAACTTCGCTGACAAGCGGCGGTCGATCAGTAGGTATAGTTTGCTTGCACACTACAGGCCACAGAGTTTCTTTTCTTTATTTCTATTCATGGAAGTCTGTAGCTGACACACAGTGAATATCTCCACTTCTTCCATACCTGTCTGAAATGATTTCTCTGTTGTGATATATATGTAATGAAGGAGTGAAAATCTCTGATGATCATCAGAGGCTGAGGGTACAAGGGAATGGTCTGTGGTTTTCCAAGGTAAATCATGAAGTCATTGTGAATGTACCCAGTTACAGTGAATAGATGTGTGTAAATGGATTTGGTCATACAGGATAATAGAATGTTTGTGTATGAACAGACTCTTATTTCTAGTATGGCTGAAACCAGAAGCCATGGCAAACAGGTTCAGTGAAATTAGCACCTGACACATGCCAAGTTGGAAAATATGAGGTTTCAAATTTCAAATCAGTGATTTCAGAGGGAAAACAACAATTCTTTTAATCACACCACAATCTGCAAGGAGATAAGTCCATTTCAGACAAGAAATTGAACACTTTGTATGTACTCGTAATAGAGGCACAGATCTCCAATTCCATAGAATGAGTTTTTGTAAAAAAAAAATCTCCATGGATTTCACCCATAAGCGAACTATACCGACTGAGCGACCGCCTCTTGTCAGCGAAGTTAGTGCCAACTTTAGCGGATAGAGGGTGTTTCATGGTCAGCGTAACGAATCCCCACGGCCGTTAATTTCGGTTTTCTAGACCGGAGCTGCTGTTTCCTTGAAATAGCACCTCAGTTATAATCACAAGGCTGATTGGACCCGTTCCAGACCCACTACTTCTCAGAAAATCTGGTAGCGCCGGGAATTGAACCCAGACCTCTGGATCTGTAGCCAGGAACTCTGGCCACTAGACCACAGAAGTGGTCATCATGGAATAAAATGATTACTATATTGACTATTATCTGCTGGGATTTTACACTGTGGAGTCTGGTGGATGTTTAAAAATGTTTCAGAAGAATTTATCGCCTCCATATTCAAGGTCAGGATGTAAGTCAAGCAAACAGCAAACAGAGACCACTGTGCTTACTGCTTGCTCGCTTGGCTTACACCCAGGCTCTGACATTGGAGACTGTGTGCATTTCGTTGAAACATGGTTAACTTTTACCAGATACAGGGCATCACATCCAAGAAGACCACACTCTTCATAATCAGTGCCATGAGAGCCTCAAATCTCGCAGTGTGATTTCTGCATTGGTTTGGATGTCCGAAAATGTTATACATGTAAATTTTGTGTAACATGGCAATGCATTTAATGCTGTTTGCAATTGATATGTACCGAGAATCCTCAGAAATCTTTTTTTTTAAGAAAGCAGGGTATTCTTATCCATGATGGTGCCGTGCCTCAAGCAGGTGATTTGACAGTGAATTTGTATGAATGCGAAGTTTTTCTCATTGTGTTCGCAGTCCTGCTTTATGACTTTGTGGATTCATCTGTTTTAGTCTCTGACAGGCTATGAGAAGAGAAAGAAATACAGTTAATTGACGGTGTGAAAATATGTAGAGTGAGTATTTTTGCTGTGTAAACTTGATGTGGAAGAGTCAGGTTAACTCACAGAACTAAGTTCACTTCATAGCTGTGCCAGCTAGCACAGTTACTGATTCTGGTGTGTCGTCAGTGATGTTAAGACTTCCTTTTAGCTGAAATAAAGGAGTTTCTGCAATGATCGAATGTGTGTATTGTGTAGTATGGTGAATTCTTGTTAGAACGTGGGCCTCTCTCTTTCCTCTCTCCAGTGCATATCATTCAGTAACAAATTGAAATGATCCATGAATTATTGTTTGGTGTATGATTCAGTGGAAAAATGTCAGTATGAACAAGGCAGGATGTTACCCATTTTGGTACTCAGACTGAAAGCTAGTAACAAAATAATAATTGAATAGGAAGGTAATGTTTCTTATGTTTGCATAGTGTTATAAATATTTAGATATGTCACTTTGTTTTACTGAATATAAAATGTGCTCATATAGTTCCAAAGGTATTGTATGTTTCTTCCTATATACAGGGTGTTATTTATTGAGGAAATATGAATGCATTCACTTCTCAGCAACTAACATAATAAACCATAAACAGAATTCTCTGATCAACCATTAGTGTGCAGCTCTTCAAGTCAGGTGGTCTGAAGTTAGTAGACATGTTTGATTTTGGCATGTATAGTTTAATCCTCATTTAATATTTTCCTTCATTTAATATTTATTTGTGTGGCCCCATTGCCATTGTCTCACCCATTTCCCGCCACTTACAGTTTTGGTCTTTTTAGTGTTATAAATCCGTTGTCCTCCAGTGAAACTTTATTTTTCACTCAGTTCTTGAAGCAATATGAGATAAAAATTGACATGTTTTTCTCAGTTACATTATACAGTGGAGTCAAGTAATATGTAGTTATAAATTAAAGGAATTAAAATACCAGGGACTCCCTCAGTTTGTAATTTACTGAAGGAAACAAACATAGGACTTTTTGTGGACAGAAAGCGTTCTGGATACTTGGTTCATGTGGTCATTTTAACAGACATCATTGCTTCACTTGGATAATTGTATTAATGGCCAAAATAACAAATAAGGGAGCTCCCTAACTAAACCATAGTGTGCTGCAGTGTAAAACATCTCGCTAGTCACTGCTATTTCAAGTGGCATTATGCCTTACCTGTAATATGTGGTTTGATCATCAGTATGCTGAGTTGGCGAATAAAATAGCCATTTAACTTTTTCATTTCATGCTTAAAATGTTAATGTAGAAGGCATGATTTTCACACTTTTAATTACAATATTTTCATAAAATCAGCATGACAATTAACCTGAAGCTGAAAATGTATAAGCATCAAAACCAAGGTAAAATAGTTTACTTTTGACTTTCTGGTTATTAATGACAGAACCCCATGGTTTATATTGTAGAAACATTTCTAGGAACTATTTTATTTTTTGCATCATGTTGTGTATCATGTATTAAAGGTATATTTGAGGGTTATTAACACAACAGTTGATTATAAAACCAGTAAAAATGTTTGATATTCACCTGTTAAATGATCTCTGCAGATTGAAACATGTAGTGGAATGTAAATAAATCAAATATCAAACATTTTAATATCAGTTTTATAATAAATTGTTGTGTTGACAGCTTTCAGATATACCTTTAATTTATAGGAACGCTGAAAGCAAGAATTTTAGTAGGCAACAAGCCCGGAGATTTATTTTGTCTTTGAAACTCCCAGGAATTGCAGAAAAGATGGAGTTGTAAATTGAATGACGGCTGTTAGAGCAAGCAGTAAGAGTGGTGTGTGGAGTGTAGAATTAGTTCTTCTGCTTAAATTGTGAATAGATTTCCATCCGCGCAGTCAAATCTCTACAAGTTGGTAAGACTCAAAGTATATAAGAACTTCCATTTGTTCGCAAAAGGAAAGTACCAGCTAAATACCCTTGTGAACTGTTACCATCATTTTCAGATCAAAGTCATATACCATGAGAATTTTGAGTAAAATAAATTCAACTAACCAAATTAAATTTGTAGTACAGTGCTCCATTGTGTTTTCCAGTACTTTTGTGTAGAAACTGCTTATTCTAAATGGGAATTGTAATAGCTCAGCAGTAAAATGACAACATGTACAGCCAAAATTGAGGTTACAGTCAGAGCATTGGATGCTTATGTTCACTGCCAAGTCTGGAAAGAAGTCTGGTTCACAAGTTAAAAACATATTGGCAGACAGATCAGAATACTTTCTTCTGCAAAGAGCCGAGGTCTAGCTTGCATGGAGCTTTACATCCATGCCTCCTTTATGTGATGTGATGCTTGAACACATAGCAGGTTGACCAGCTCATCATTATCAGCAGCAGCAGGAAATCCCTTTTTGAGCCATAGGCTTCCTTAGAAGATCCTGCTAGATAACCCTCTGGTTTTCACTTCTTTGGGTTTTGCAACAATTTTTTTTTACAGAGCAAGGTTATCAGCCTCATGTTTAACTCCCGACCTAGTCCGTGCTATAGCTCAACTTGTTAGTTGCCGGCTTCCCACCGTGGTATCTGTGTTTGAGCCCAGGTCAGGTCATGTGGGATTCGTGGTGGACAAAGTGGCACTGAGGCAGGTTTTCTCTGAGTACTTCGGTTTCCCATGCCAAATTTAATTCCACCAAATGTCCCACCACCATCATCATCTATCATCTGCCGCTGGTACAATAGGTCAGTTAGTTGCCAACGTACCAAGTGAACTAGGTCTCATCCCATCCAAAGAAAAAAGAAACCTGGAGAACTTGACCAACAACTCATTCAGTATTAATTTAATTATGAAATGTGTATTAATAATGTGTTGGCATTTCACAGGTTTCTATCTGGTATGGACAAAGTCATTGAACATAGTAGTGTCATAGCTTATGCAAAATGAAATTTTATGCGAATTGTAGGATGTAGTTTAGGGTTTTCAGGTTCCTACGATCTCTGTGTTTGGTTGGAAAAAGTCTTAAGAAAATACACATTTTCTCTGCACACAACACAGTGAAATCTACATTTAATGTTCTCTTCCAGGCATTGGATTTTAACATTAAAAACAGATAAAAATGTAATTGGTAAGAACTTAATTCTGAGATACTGGTGTGAATCTGTGGAAGAATGTTAAGTAATAGAACATTAAACAGGTATTCCATTAGTACAGAGTTGTACAGATTAAATTTTGAATGTCCCAGGCAATGAGACTAGATGGGAGGTATAGGCATGGAGCAGAAATACTAATGAAATAAGAGTTTACAGGAATGGAGTATAGAGATATATATGAACTGGACTGATAAGGCCTAATGAAGGGTTTTTATGAACACGGTAATAAACCTTCAGGTTCCACAAAAAGGGGGAATTTTGGGGTTCGTTTAGTAACAGGTGCTGAAGGAAACCTCATTGTCATAGAGTTTTCATTCATTCATTTATCTGCGTTCTGTTAATCCATACAAGGTCAGACCAACCTATGGGATATAGAACCTGTCAAGATACACATATAATATAAACATAAAATAATGATGTATACATACATTCATAATGAGCACAATAAGGACATAAAGTAAAACACAGTATTGCATAACAGCATTGTCACAAAACATACCATTGTTCCAAAATTTCATATTCCTACTTACATTATGCCTAGCTTGCTGGCAGCAGAGTGCATTCACTTTCTTTTCAGAGGAACTCCCAGAGCTTTTAAAACTATCATCGTATATTTGTGCAGTTAACTAATTGTCTTCATAATTGATCTGCATGCAACACCTCACAATGTGATCATTTTCAGCTGTTAACATTGATATTTTTTCTTCCTTTATTCAGGTTATGACATGTCACCGTTTATTAGACGATATGCCAAATACTTGAACGAAAAGGCATTATCGTATAGAACTGTGGCCTTTGACTTCTGCAAAGTTAAAAGGGGGTAAGGATATATATGTATGTATTTACTTTAAATAACAGGTAAATGCATGGTGTGAGAATGGATGAGAAGGGTATTGTAATTTCTCGGAAAGAGTCAAACTATGACAAATGAACAGCTGTTTTGGCTGTATTGAGTAATTTATGTGTTGCTGAGCAAAGGATTTTTCTGGATAAAATCACAATTGAAAGGTATGTGCATCTTAACTGTTTCATTAATATATTATATGACATGGCTGAAATTCAGAGTATAACTTATGTACCATACTTTCCCAAATATAATTAAGTACTGATCATGCTGAGAACAAAATTAAATTTGCCCAGTATCCCTTCATCACTGTGAAAGTTTGGAGTGTGTTTTATTCATCACAGTATTAGTGCTGGGAGAAATTCTGGATATCTGTATTGTCAAGGTATTTTGGAGATGGGAGTCTCTTTGCAGTAATCTCATCTCATTCTTTAAAGTTTCTTCTTAAATTTGTGAAGTGAAATATTTTTACTGCCAAACTCCACAAGACAGAGAATCGCCTATGGATATGTGTATGGTTCCTTCCTATCCTCTTTATACACTTCAGAGATATGTTTATTAGTTCAATCTTTGAAGTCTTTAGAACCATGGCAGCAATACTAGTGATGGGTGGGAAGAAGGTGATGTTCAGACTTCTTTCACTTGGAATGAAATATTGAATGTTTCAGAATTTCTGATCCAATGACAGTAACTCATGAACACACAAAGGTTTTCATAATTTTCCTGTGTAAGAAAGTGGAGGCTGTTACCATTTCATCCACTAAATAATGGCTTAACGCTACAGTTGATAAACATACTTTCCCTCACTTTGTAGTTCTGATTTTATTTTAATTGTTGACATATGTAAGAGAAGCATCTCATGTGTGACTATTGTCATTTGCCTCTGGCCCTAATTTAGTGCAAAAGTGTTCCTTTCGAAGTCATGAAATTGTTTTAACGCTTTCCCTTTGTTCATCCAGTACACCTAACAGTTATTAAGCTGAATTTCCTGTATTCTTTGAGTTGTCCGTGAAACCTTCATTGGTTTAATTGTGAAATCAAAATTAAAATATTATATTGTTTGCCCTGTTAACTATGTTAAAAAGTCCATATGATGTAGACTGCCTGAGCATGACCAGCAAGTCAGAGATGTGGGATGCAAGTTTGGCCTTTTATCTGTGCCCAAAAGTCAGGGCAATATAGGACACAGGTGTTGATGAAGTTTTCAAGTAACATATCATTAGTTTCTCTAAAGAACATACAATTGAGCAATCAGATTCGTTTGGAGATTACACAGCAAAACACAGTTTGAATCCAAAAATATAGATATTGAACTTAGTCTAGTTAAGAGAATAAACCCCTCTCACTTCGGTTCTTCCATAGCTGGTCCCCCGTGATTCAACTTTTATGCAATACAGGTCTCTCATATTAACTTATTCAAAGCTGTACTTTCACTTTTATTTTTCCCTGTGCCTATTTAAGCACTATGCTGTGAAAACATTTGGAGGAGTGGTGATATGTCTCTACACTTTGTGAAACTCAGGACTAGGTGGAGGTGAGTGGCCAAATTTATATCCTTGGTGCTTTCTCACTGTGTAAAGAAAGAGCCCTAAGTAACAATTGGATGGGCTGTTTGAGCCTTAGGACTGGTCTGGATGTAGTAGCAATGTGAGTCCCAGGGATCCCCCCCCCTGGTTCCCCAGTTTTCTAGCCCATAGTCTGGTCACTGTACAAAATTTATTTTCATTTTAGGAAGGAAGATGGAACACTGAGAACAATGAATGCCGAGAAACTACTCAAGACACTGCCAGTATTACAGAGTCAGCTAGATGCACTCCTAGAATTTGATTGCACAGCCAATGATCTGACCAATGGAGTCATTAATATGGCATTCATGTTGTTATTTCGAGATCTTATTAGGCTTTTTGCTTGTTACAATGATGGTATCATCAATTTGCTAGGTAAGACTACAAAAAGAATATTTTAACTGAAGTTGCGTCAGTAAAAGGTGACATGTATTTCTGTTGCCCTACAACAGAAATGTAAAGAATGCCTTCAGAAGAGAACTTTGCTTGTTACTTTAGGGAGTTACCCATTTGTATATCAGTCATTATTATATCAGTACTTACAGTTGATTTATCATAAATTTGTTCTTTGTAGAGAAATACTTCGACATGAACAAGAAGCAGTGTCGAGATGCTCTTGATCTGTACAAGAAATTCCTTATTCGAATGGACAGAGTGGCAGAATTCTTGAAAGTAGCTGAGGTAAGTTTTTATAGAGCAGCAGTATACTTGCTTTATTTTGCTTTGGTTAAGTTATTAAAACTAATAATTGTAAATGTTAGTAGTTGCACAGCATTCATAAAAGGAATTCCTTACCATTTAAGTTAACATTTGTGTTTTGCATCTCATTTGCTCATTGTCATTTCACCATTCATAAATATGATCCACTTCATTGTGTTGTCCTTTTTCAAAATCTACAGGTATTTCCACCCTGTTTCCTTCAGCAATCTTATTCTTTCAGTCATGGTCTGAATTTTCTCCTGGTTACTCCAGTGTTAATTTCCCAGATGCGTTATCCCATTTGAGTTTTCTGCAGTGTATAAAGTCTCCACCTTATCGTGGTGAGGGGGTTTGAGTATGCCAAGGACCCTGAGAGCTATACCAGCGGTAGCGTAGCTACTGGCAGGGCCTCCCTTGCTGGACAGGTCAAAGGGTAGGCATCAGACGAAGAGAGACACCAAAAACCAAAAACTGATGCCGGAAGCAGCGTCATCAGCAGCGACTTGAAGCACAGAACAAATGATGCTCGAGATGGTTCAAGTTCGTATAGCAACAGGCGTGACCAGAGTGGTTTGAACGGCTGTTGTACTGCGATGTGGAAAGCAAATGGAAAAACTACCACATTATCACTTTTCCTGGATAGTCTCTTTCCAAAAACAGAAGATCACATTAAGTGGAGGAACTGTTTTGGAAGAGACTGTGGACCTGTCATCTGACAGATTACTGATCAATCAATCAAAGTATCCCTTAGTTCATACCCCTGTGACTGTCACTTAAATTATACATCTTCACATGTTTTTCAGCTTGCTGTTACTTTGTTAGTTTTCTGTGAAACGGTTTAATTTTGGCTGCATTCCTTTTGAGCCTGAGAATCTGTAGACTTCATGGCACACAGCAGATCTTCAGATAGGCATGCATTCAGTGAGGCTTACTTTGATGCTGGGTCTCTGTTTTCAGAGTGCAGTAGACTGCTGATGTAAATTTTGAAGCTGGAATGTAATCATATGAACCTTGTTATTTTTCCATCCCCTTATTTTATTTAATCCCTAGAAGTTCAACAGTATAACAGTATGACTTCAAATATCATATAGACAGTTGGAGCTAAAACTTAAAATTGCTACTTCTAGCTGAGAGGAAAAAAGGTGACAGTAGTAACTGTGAGTTCTGAACAGAACTCGTTAGGTTTACTCTTCTGTTGCATATATTTGTAGTCACTCAGATCTGTTACTGTTGTTATTTTATTTCATTTTATGTTTTGAAGTTCATTTTACTTAAGTGCATATTCAGTGACACCTCCAGTCAAGGTTTCTTTGGGGATCAGAGTATTTGAGCGCTAAACTGAGGAAATCTTAAATGAAGGCAATGTATTAGTGAGATTATCGACTTGGAATCATTGAAAATGAATGCTAAATGTGAGAAAAAGTTGAATTGGAGAACATTAAATGGGGTTTCCGCATGTACCAGCTAACCAATTCCCGATGAGCAGGAACCTTCTCAAGAAGTTGAGAGTCAGTTAACTACTCAAGAAATTTTCCACCAGTTAATGAAATGTGGAAGTTCATTATCATATTGTCACGTGATTTAGTGATGCTAGACGGGGTTTACATTGGTAACTGGAGTTACTGAACCCTTACAGATTGTAACTACAAGTAACTGTAGCAGTATCGCTAATTCACACACTGCAGTTCACTACAACACATACTAAGTCTTACCTGTCTGCTGTGACCTCACCCATTGTTGCCTGGTGATGGATTGCGGCAATGACCTCTGCTTCCATGCTGACGTTCTTACTGGCTGGCGAAATCTCACAACTAACACATTCCTCCAACTGTTGACTCTCAACTAATTGTCCTGCTTATAACATATCAGCATGGACTGCACAGAAAATGGTGTTCCTCTGTTGGTTTCTAGTTGTTGCCATGCAGACATTATTGAAGCTGTTATTCAGTAACAGTTGTAATGTATTTGCTCAAGGCATTTCTAGGCAACAACTTGGTAAAAGCATTCCAGTGTGCAACAACAGAAGATGTGTCTTAGTGGACAAATGTTATAGCTTGTTGCTAAGCAGTAATTAGTGCACCAATGACTTGCTTAGCTAGGAATCACATGACTCGTGTTTTCTGTGTTATCCGTACAGAGCCCACATAATGAAGACCTGTGGTAGCTTAGATAGGGCAGTGTAGTTAAAGAGTTTCCAGAACGAGTTTTTAGTTGAGTTCCGAGGTTCCAGGGCGATTGAACAAGAAATGGCAAGAAGACTTCATAGTGGTTTGAAGTGTTAGTTTCTGTTTTGAGATCTGTTGGAAGGGGATGACTAGTGGAAAAAGACACTCCTACTGCTTGTGCAGTGGTGAACTGGAAAATGTGTAAATCAGCACTGTATTAAATGTGATTAAGAGAACTTGTAACCAAAGTGCCAATAAATGCAGTCATCCAAACTAGAACCCATTATTTTCGTCACACATATGAATTGTGGAGCTCCTCATTATGCAGTTTGTCTAACCTCCTACCATGTTTGTCCTTCTAGTTCCAAATATTCACCTCAGCACCCTGTTCTCAAACACCCTTAATCTATAAATTTTGCACAGTGTAAGGGATCAGTTTTGACACCAAAGCAAGAGAAATGAAATTACAGTTCTGTATATTTTAATCCCTGTGCTTTTATATAGGAGTTACAAAGACAAAAGATTCTGAACTAAATGTTAGCAAGCATTCCCCAAATTTAATACACTCTTAACTTCATAATGATTCCAGTTTTGGTGTGTTATCATTGTTCCAAAATACTAAAATTTTGACACACTTTCAAAGGATTTTATATTTCTTGGGATGGCATCTAAGCTTACTCCAGTCCTGCTTCTGTTAATCTGCCCTGTTGATAATAATGTTTGAATTTAAATGAAAGGAAATTAAGGTCAGCAAGGATTGTAAAACTGCAAAGAAACTTTTGGAAACTTTGAATTTGAAACTTGAGAACACCTTTGCACTCTTGTTTCAACAGATGTGTTGGTGGGAAGATCTTGAGTCTTTCAGCAAACGGTGAACAGAGTATACTATATTCTCATAGTTATTAAAGGATGAAACCTTATTTTTAAAGTTCAACTTCTTTAATTTTAGTCTGTTAGCTGCATGTTCTTTTTGTTTTACTGCCCAGTGCCCACTCAAGTGCCAAATCATGGGATAGCAGCATGTAAATTTATTTTTAAGTGGCGCCACCGTCCCTTGACGGCTTGGGAATGCCCAGAGCAGTATCAGTTGTGAGGTGTTCTCTCATGAGTCAGGTTGAACACTGGCCAGTCTGCTCATGGCAAGCCTACGTGAATTATGGGAGTTTGAACGGGGCATGATAGTGGGTGCCAGGCGGATGGGACATTCCATTTCTGAAGTTGTGCGGTCATTCAACATTCCTTGATCCATGGTGTCACATGTGTACCAGGAGCACCTTGTGGAAGGCATTTGCACCCACCGTGGACAGCGCAGTGGCCGACCACGGGTGCTTAATGATTGTGACAGCAGTGTCTAGCTAGAATTGTCTGTGGTAACAGACAAGCGACACTGGCTGAAATCACATCCACATTCAATGCAGGAGGTACCAGACGCATATCCAGCAGGTCAGTGCAGCGTTCTTTAGCTTCCATGGGATATGGGAGCAGAAGACCGACCAGAGTGCCTCTGTTAGCACCACGACACCAGACATAGCGCCTCACCTGGGCTTGGACCCTGGAGGACTGGCAACATGTGGCATGGTCCGATGAGTCACTTTTCCAGTTGTTTCAGGCGGATGGTAGGGTTCGGGTGTGGCACAGACCCCATGAGGCTATGGACCCCAGTTGTCAACAAGGCACCGTGCAGCCTGGTGGTGATTCCATACTTGCGTGGGGTGTGTTCATGTGGCATTAATTGGGTCCGCTCATCCACCTAAACACGTCATTGACCGGTGACTGCTATGTTATACTGCTTGGTGACCATTTGCAGCCCTTAATGCACTTCATGTACCCCCACAACGATTGGATATTCCAGCAGGACAATGCACTGTGTCATTGGGCTGGAGTTGTCCAGAATTGGTTCAAGGAGCATTCTGGAGAGTTTTGATGAATCGTGTGACCACCACATTCGCCCGACATGAACCCAATCAATCATTTATGGGACGTGGTGGAGAGGTCCATTCACACCCAAAATCCTGCACCTACAAGTACGAGGGAGCTGTGGGCGGCTATTCAGATGGCATGGCTCAACATCTCTCCAGAGGTCTTCGGTCCACTTGTGGAATCGATGCCACGTCAAATTGCTGCACTTCACTGGGCTACAGGGGGTCCTACATGATACTGGGTACCTATCCCATGACTTTTGGCACTTCAGTGTATATATGTATATATGAGTATCATTTGAGGTGAATTATTTTATTCAATGTTTTACAGTATTTTGAAATGTGATTTTTTTTTTTTCTCCCCAGAATGTTGGAATCGATAAAGGTGATATTCCTGACCTCACAAAGGTAACTATTATTGAAATATTTTTACTCGAAGAAAACTGAAAACATTAGTAAACTTCTTTCTGCTCTGAAGCGTAGAAGTAATTGAACTTATTAAAGGGAATTCGAGGTCATTGTAAGTATTTTCATTTGTTCCAGCATAAAGCAATATAACATCTATAGTCACCAACTTTGTAGCCTGTCAACATGAATATGTATGAGGTATCTAGTTGTATGGCACACATGCCTTGATTCAGAATGTTTTCTGTTGAAAATCAGGATGTAGTATTTGAGGCTTATATTTCTGGAACCTTCAGTCTTTACTGAAATCATTAGATTGATAGCTAGAATTTTGTTAACTGAAGAAAGCAGTCTGTTACATAATTCAGGGAAGATAGTCCAACCCATCTAAATGTTTTCACTCCACTTTCAGTGTATCTCATATGAGCAGTAATACTAAACCTAGCAGCCCAGTTCTTGACTGTGGAGTAGGAAGACACTTATCAACTAATGTCACCGACATGTCATTGTAAATTTTTTTGGCCGAGTTCCCTTTTAGGAAAAGATACAGTGGAACCTCGCTTAATGAGCACCTCTTATAACGAGTAATTCGCATAACGAGCAAAATAAATTGTAAAAAAATGACTCGCATAACGAGTGATGAGAGGGAAGTCCCGGTTTGTGCGCTTGCTACATTAGTCTGTGTTTAGCACTTGTTCCGCTAGCATCTTAGTGTCACTTGTGATCACACATTTTTCCAAACTTGTGTTCAGACATTATTTGTGATTTTCTTTTGTGCAAAAATGTCCTCAAAGAAAAATCTGCAAAAAGACAGCCATAAGAGAATAAAAATAACCGTAGAAATGAAGCATAAAATCACTGAAAAGCGAGAATGAGGGGTGAGCGTGGCTGATCTAGCACACACATGCAATTGGTCTACATCAACAATTTGCACGATTTGTAGTTGCATTGTGTTTCACAGAAACAAGTTATGGAGGAGAGTTTGTCAGAGGAGGAGGAGGAGGAGGTAACAGCAAAGCAACAGTCTTCTGGCACAATAAGAGAAATGCTGAACGCATGGGAAACTGTTGCATCGTACATTGAGAAGCATCACCCTAATAAGGCAGTGGCTATGCGTGCTGCAAATTTATTTAATGATAATGCTGTGTCACATTTTCACCAAATTTTGAAGCATCGGCAAAAACAAATGTCTCTATAGACAGCTTTCAAGTAAAAAAGAATTAGATATGTATCATAAATAATAAACTAATTATTTCGATTTTTTTTTCTGCAAACCGAATTCGCATTCCCGGTTGGTTCATTCCGCATAGAAGGAACAATGAAGATGATTCACGCTCCTTAACAATGTATATATACAGGGGACAGACAAAAATATGGAAACACCCAACAAAAAACACATTACCGTGACTAATATGGTGTAGGACAACCTCTGGCTTGCAGAACCGCTTGCAGTCTCCTTGGAATGGATAAATAGAGGTCCTATATGATTTGCAAGGGAATCTTGTACCATTCTTCCTGAAAAACATGGTAAGTTCTGTTATTGATGATGGCTGTGGATAGCGCGCACACAGATTGCTCTCCAACACAG